TTAAGAGATACAATGCAGGATGAAGTTTAGTTTGGTTCAACACTCAATCGGAGAGATCCTCGAGTGTGTTCACTTAAATATATGGGGCTCTTCTCCAGTGAAGTCTCATGGTGGATGTCAATCCTTTGTGTCTTTTATCGATGACTACATAAGGAAGAGTTGGGTGTACTTTATGAAGACAAAAGATGAAGATGAAGTTTTTGGGCGGTTCACAGAGTGGAAGACCATGGCTGAAAAAAAACTGGGAACCAAGTAATATTACTCAAAATAGAAAATGGGTTGGAGTTGTACAAGGATTTGTTTGATAACTTCATCAAAATAGAAGTTACATTGAGGCATCGTACTGTATGAATATCACCACAACAAAGCAGAACAGATGAACCAAACACTGGTGAAACATGCTTAGTGAATGCGATTATCTACTAATTTATCGGAGCAATTCTGGGTAGAAGCAGTTAATTTTGGTTGCTATATGGTGAATAGATCTCCATCAACTGCAATTGCTTGTAAGACTCCTCAAGAGGTGTGGTCCGGGAAACCTCTGAATATTCTGGTTTACGAATGTTTGGATTCCCAGATTATGCTCGTGTGAATGGTGGTAAACTGGATCTGAGGGAAATAAAGTGCATATTTCTAGGATATGCATCTGGAGGGAAATGTCATCGTCTGTGGTGTACAGAAGAAGGAAAGACTCCAAAACTCATTATTAGCAAAGATATGACCTTTAAACCTCCTATGTGTAACCAACGAGGAAGTGGTATAAGTGTTTCATGGAGCGATCATGGTGCTAGCTAGAGGGTGGTCAAGTGTAGCTCATTAGGAAGTAGTCAAGTGTATCTTGCAACACTTCAAGGGAACACTTGGTATTTATATGGTGTGTGGTGTTATTGCATGTCATATGGACTTGGTTGGATCTGTAGACTTAGACAATGAAGGTGATCTGGAGATAAGAAGATCATTGGTTGTTGGTCTCATTAAGAGTCTTGTCTTGAAGGTGGAGAACCCTATCATGATCTATGACAAGTTTTTCATTCAAAATTTTGATGCCAAGGAGAATCCGGAAGACCTGTTGACAAAGTCGTTACCTAAAGAGAAGTTCAAGATTTTCTTGGACTTAGTTGTTGTTCGCAAGGCTTAGGTCCCATTGGGGATGGATGGTAGTAAGGGAGAAGAGGTTCTTGGTTTAAGGTAGAGTTCATAGGATACTCAAGTCAAAGTGGAGATTGTTACATATGACTTGGGCATTTAGCATTTATGACAAAGCATTGTGGAAAAGCGTTATGTAAGAACATTATGGCAGAGCATTTTGATAGGGCATTGTAACATGGTATCATAACAGAGCATTGTGACGAAGCATTATGGCAAAGAATTATGGATGAAAGCTTTATTGGTGATTAAAAGCTCTATTTAGTGATTGAAAGCTCTGTTAGTAAGTGAAAGCTCTTTTTGTCGACTAAAAGCTCTATTGGTGAGTGAAAGCTTTGTTCGTCGACTAAAAGCTTTGTTCGTCGACTAAAAGCTCTGTTAGTGAGTGAGAGCTTTGTTTTGTGACTGAAAGCTCTACTAATAGGTGAAAGCTTTGTTTGGTGGTTGAAAGCTCTACTGATGAGGGAAAGCTCTAAAAGTAGCTGCATGGCAACATGTGATTGGTTGAAAGCTTTCATGGATGTATGGACTGATGGGCTTGGCCCATTAGGGTTTTAGGTCTGATCCCTTGTCTATAAATAGGGATGCTAATCACCCATTTGTACCTTTTGTATCGTTAGTGAGTAGGTCGAATCTATGTTGGTTGTACTTTTAATATTTGTTTGAGAACTTTGTGAATTAGAATACTCCCTTCCTACCCATGGAAAGAGGTCACCTTGACCGAACAACATAAATACTATTTCTTTTGTGCTTTTGGTTTTATATGTTATCCGCGTTACTTCCTAACAAGTGGTATCAGAGCTTGTCAAGTGACATCAGATTTCTTAGGATTCTTGACAAGTGTTGTCTGATTTCCTAATACACATCATCTTCATCTTCTTTGTAGATTCATTAAGTCCTAAACCAAAAAGTCAAATAAAAAATCAGATCAAATCCACAAATAGGAAAGAAAAAACAAGTCAAGAACCACAAAAAAAAGAAGGAGAAAATAAAACAATAAATTAATTGTGGCTGAGTTTTTGGAAAGACCAGACACAAAACTACTACTTATAAAAATCATATCAAAGCTGAAAGGTTGGAAAGACCACTAATGTATTCTGGTTAAAAAGTGTTTTAAAAATAAAAAATTTGGGTGAAAAATCATGATGTTACAATAACTATATTTTCGTGCAACTCGCGGGGATTCGCCTAGTATGTGTGTGTGTGTTTGTGTTTGTC